ACTCTTACTTACTGTAGTTCCTGTTTTCTTAATGCATAGTTGAAGTTCTCGGTTAAATTGAAATCTATGCGTGGAGATTCTTGTTTTTGCATAGCGGTAGGCGTATTATGCCATATGATCGAGAAATCGTTACACCTGGGTTAGTTTTAAGGATTACTCAAAGTACTATTGTAAGTTTGACTGTCTGGAATACTGTTTAGAACTTTTACTGCCATGTTAAACCAGAAATCATTATATCTGGGTTAGTATCAAAGATCGCTTAAACTAATATTATAGTTCAAGATCAAGTGCAAGTTTAATTACTCTCGAGTACATCTGAATGATGTATTTCATGAGAATTTAAAATAGCAAATGAATTATCTCAGTGTACATTAAATGTCTAAATAGCAGCACCATGTAGGTAGTTGACAGTAAACATGTAAAAGACGAGAGGCACGGGATTACAGGTTTGGCTGCCTGGAATACTTAGCAGAAAGTTTATTTGCAGCAATTCTGGATTATTTCGTTGTCCATTTCCCACATCGTCAAAGGAACCCGTATTTTCAGTTTTATTTGGTTAATTTAGAGTCAACGTTTAGACGTAAGGAAACATGGGCAGGATATTTATGCTCGCCGAAGTTTTTATTTGAACATGACCTATAAAGGCCGGTTCTCACATGCAGCGAAGCGCTGATGTAGCGCTGCTCACGTGCCGTCAGCTACTTATCGACTGCCATGAGCAACAGTTTGGACGGTGCGATACAAAGCTGGTGAACGCTCCCGTCGACACGTGCTTAGCGCGAGGTTAGCGCTATGCTTGCAGCGCTCCGCTGCATGTGTGAACAGGCCTTAAGGGCCCAACGACCCAGAACACAATTTGGGGCTCGAAATTCCCGTTTGTTTTTTCGCCAGAAAAAAAACCCGGTAGAGATAATGTAGTGATTGCGCAGGCGAGCTGGTAGAGAATTGGCCGGTTTCAGTCGCGCTCACTCTTTTTTCAGTGGTCACGTGGCGTTCAAACTATATATACCAATGATATCCAAATTTGTAGGTCATCTAAGGCAGGCAATCAATATTAAAAACTGCAAAGAATACGAAGTAAAATTTTTGTGGCCTCCAAAGAACCGCAAATACGTTGATCGAGAAAAAAAATATGTTACACAGATCACAGGAAGTAAGTACACTTCATTCTCATTGTGGCGACGTACCGCTGACTGAACAACGCGATGGCAGCGCACGACAGACGTGGGCCGCTACTTCGGAACTGTCGGGTACCGGCCAATCGATCTTCAAGCGCAGAACATCGAGCGGAAGGGATATAAGTGCGAAACAATAGCACGACAAATGGTGTACGCAAATTTGTCGTCGTTTTGCTTCACACGCCGAAGAAGTGGCGAAACAAAAACGCTGTCAGGTGTAGCCACGTGACTCCTGGCCATGAGCTTCCGTGCTCGTGTTTCGCGGTTTTGAGCAGTTGAGATTTTTACTTTATTAAAAATATACATGACTCTGCAGCAAAATGTTTATTGTGTAGTCTCCTAACATCATATAAAATCGCCTGACAAAAAAAAAAAAAAAGAGCTATTTCGGGGGTGTCGGTGCCCCTTTAAACGCCTCCAGTCGTATCGACTGGCCTAGCTTTAAGTTTTAACGCAGGCTGCAGCACTTGATATCGATTCACAACGCAGCGTCAAACGCTGTTTTGTGAAGGAGCCTCTACGGAATCATCTCATGAGAGGCTTTTACTGATGGTACGCTGCCCGTGTTCCCAATTTTACCATGGAACGAGTTTCAGCTTCAGGCAACGCAGCGGCAACTGATTCAAAAGGTGCCTCTAAAAGTTCTACATTTCTTTTTTTTTAAGTCACGCGTGCGATCTGCCTCTAACCATGCATGGAGGACGAAGAGAGGGGATGGGGAGGGGGGACACATGATCACTTACGACTTTGAATCTTGCCGATCAGTTCTGCACGAGAGATCGGTTTGCTCATCGCCACGAGATTGGTCCCGCCGAAGGAAATCCACCACAACCGAGGACAAAAGATGCGGTCACTTCTTTAGTGGAAAGTCACCTCCAGCTGACGTAGAACTTTGCACTTTTCCAGTGTCAGTTGTGAATACTCCCGAGTGAGAAATCGCAAAGCAACATCCTAGGGGGTAATATTAACGTTACGGGCTTACCCTGCAGTCTAATACCTGGTTTACACATGGGCGTTTCATGGCGATCGGCTGCGTTTCAACCACTTGTAGCCGCTTAGTGTAACGAGAGAACCCACTGGCACCATCCATTCACAAGCGCCGAAATTGTTCCGGTCTCCGTATATTTCCTTATTTTGTTAGCGCAATTCTATTACCATGGGCTTCCGATGATTAGGACTGTGTTATAAGCGACAATTTTTTATCAGAGAGATTGCGTAGATTTTACCTCGAAAACACAACAAGACATTCATTCGCAGATCAGTGGTGTTCCAGGAACTCTCCGATAAATGGTGCCACGATTTTTTTTTTTCGTTTTTTTCTTTCTCTTGACGTAAGTTGTTACAGCCGGTTGAAACGCAGATGATCAAACTCAAACAGAAATGTATGAACCATAATGTAGGAGCTCGTGCATGTATACGACCTTACACCAACCATTGGCCACCTCTTAAGCAACTAATCCAGTCAGAAGAGCCACGTGTTTCATTGTTTGTTTGTTCGTTTGCATTTTATTCAGGACAATGTCAGGTATTGTCTTCGGTGACGTGGTCAAAGGCGGAATTAACGCCTGACGGGGTCCTGTCACCGCTTCAGGTATACAGCAACATAACATCAACCTACAAAAATAAACAACTTGCAGAAATCCTGAGAGACGTGGTGAAACACGTAAGCTATAAACAAGTTTCACGTCACAAAAATAATTAAAGGAATGGGCAGCAAAGATACCAGTACGTCGTTACAGCAATCTAAAACAAATATCTATGTTTGCGGGACATAAAACGTAACACGATAAATTGGCAAGAACTCGGAACAAAGCCTAAGCTCACAATAGCCTAAAGACACGGGAAATATATATATCAAGGAAAAAAACTGCCAGACTATACCCGTTTTCACCTCAAGAACCATAGTAAAAAAAAGTCCGGCGCCACGCGGACCATTACTAATTTACCCTTTTAAGTGGATAATTAAGATATATGTGGGTGAACGTTAGATTATATATATGTTATCTTATCCAGACGTACACGTTTTGAACGCCAAAAGCATCACTTTTTCCTCCGATAACTAAATATCGGAAGAACTATTTCGCGCCGCGTATGAACAATGCGCAAAACTTGCTTTCTTCTTGAGGTGAAAACGGGTGTAGGTAGATTATGTAATTTGTACTGTAATAGAAACGTGAAATGAACTGACAAATTGTGTGCTAGGCTGTCTCGTAACCCTGGCGTTAGCCTTCCTAAAAGGAAACCTTTTCTATTCTGTTCTTAAATCGTACCATTGAAATAGAACTGTGTAGAAGATTCGAGATGACGGAGTATTTATTCAACAAGTCGAGGGTGATATAACCTGTCGTTCACCATAATTTGTCCGTGAGCGAGATTCTGCAATAAAGTGAACCCTTAATTCATATGGGATTTGGTTTTCGTAATAATTTGCGTTGTCCAATGGTCACGCCAATTCGGGCGACAAAAAAAAAAAAAGCGTTCACGCCTTTGGCCACTGAGACAGCTTTGCCATTGGAAGATGGTACTGGTCGCTGTTCTTAATGGTTAAACGAATACAATGGAAGCCAATGATTGGTGTATTCAGTGCATTAAGGTACAGTATACACTCAGGAAGTTCTTGAAGTGTAGTATTCAAGCCTGATGTTAACATCGAGAAACAAGTGTAACCGGCGAATCTGTCGTTTATCATGCTCCTTGGGGTGTTTTACGGCAACAGGGCCAAGTTTAATCTAGGGACAGGTGGACCAGGTAAGATTAGTTCCGGCATTTATTAGTCCTCGGGCTCTGAACATACAGGGCTGGACCAGGGAAGCTGGACATCACCGCCTACTGCGATTGGCCAGCGGGGATGACCTGGACAATCGCAGCAGGCGGCTTTGTCCCGGTCCTTCGGTCCCGCCGGGTGGATTAGGACCCCCGGTATTTCCAATGTCTGCGACATGACGCTGATCATGACGCCAGTATGTGAAGCACCGCGATCAGCGTCATCCTGCAGGCGTCAGTTTTAGGTCTAAACATCACTTCAACGTCGTTATCCTCCCAGCTCCCTCAGTCCATCTAAAATATTATGCTGTGCTTAGTGGGGAAAGTGGACGCGCAGGTATTCTTTTTTTTTTTTTTTTAAGCTGGCGTTTACGGGCAAATATGCTTTAAGTTTAGTTGGGCTTTAGCGTTTAATTTTTTATTTTATGTCAACCGGCCTGCTTTAGACCATCGCAGTTCGCTGATTTCAAAATGCGTATAAAGTCAGCGACAACTTAAAAGACGGTGGGCTTGGTCTACTATGATTCTTGCTACGTGATTGGTTCTTCGGAGTTCTAAGCAGTGAATGCAGCATTCTCATTGGCTGCGGAGAGATAATCAGATGCTCGGGACTTGACACACACCTAGTTTCTTAAGCTGTCGTTGACCCTATAGTCGACCAAAATCGCCGAAAAACAATAGGCCGATCTCACCAAGCGTTCGGAGCATGAGCGAGGCAGCCATAACTTTAGTTCACAGGAGGCAATCGGCAGTGCACGAGACTGTTCGTGCCCTGCACGCGGAAAGCTCCAGCGAGGTTGTCTCACGCGCAGAAAGACTAAAGATTCCTCGATGCATTGCGGCAGCGGTGGCGTAGTCAAACTGGCTGGTGAGATCAGTCTATTCGCAAGGTGTCATAAAGCAGCCACCGGTGTCCTGGTAATCTGAATAATGGCGACTTCAGGCGACCGGAAAGACTCGGCTTTTCTCATCAAATGCCCGAGGCTTTCCTCGATACATGTCGCAGGTCGAGTACCAAACGAAAAACGGCAAGCAAAGATTTCACGAGGAGACACTCACCTTTGCTCCCGTTGCCTGGTGAACTCGGCGCTGTAGAACAAGGTGTCGTCGGGGATCAGCTTCCGGTCGTACGGAAACGGAGTCCACAACTTCTCCCATAGCTTCTGTAGCTTAGTCAAGGTGTGGTCCGCTCCGTTGGCGGCGAAGTCCTTTTCCAGCTGCATGGGTGCGTCGCCGCGAGTCACGCGATGAATGGCACTCCAGCGAGCTGAGTTTCTCCAGAGTTTTTTATGCTCCTTTCCAGAAGTTGTCAACCGGGCGGAAAATTCTGAGTCACCAGGCTGCGGACGCGTGCGCGACGTGTGATATGCCGTCTAAGAACGCTAGTACGCATGTGCAGAACGTGCTTCGCAGCCCAGCAGACAAAGATGGCAGCTTGCAGAAGGTAATTATTGAAATGGTCTATACCGTGTTTCACCATAAGTCAGAAGGCAAATCGAAGGCTAGAAGGCAAACACAATAGACCCCTTTTCGAAACTTCATCGAGCAACATTGGCGGTCGCCATTTCTCGGGCACAAATCGCGTGATTGGATCCGAGTCTTCGCCGAACGCTGACGTCACCCTCGTGTTCAATACGAGATCAGAGTACGTGCCCGAATAATGGCTACTTGGGTAATTGACGCGACGACTGTTAGATAGCGCTTTTTTTAAAGGGTCTGTCACAAACGCGAGCAGACATTGTGAAAGTACAATGTCATTGCACGTTCACTGCGCTCCACTGGCTTAGTTGATGATGGCGCATGCGGAGCAAAAAGACGAACGCCGTGACATTGCACACTTTTGGCACGGCTTGGTCGGGCTCATCGCCTCGCAGCGTTGGTGAAACGAAGTATAGATTTCGGAATTCCGTTGGCAGTTTGCAAATTGACCCGCAAATTCAATAGGGAGTTTTAGGAAAGCCTCAATGTTTTGCTATGTAAAATGTACACATACTAACTGAAAAAAAAAAAATACAACACTCAGAGACAACTAGCGAACGTGTAAAGTATATATTACATTTTTTACTTTGTTAGCAAATGTAATGCAGCTCAGAAAGTTCTGCACATGACTCCCCACCCCCACACACACACACTTTCTAGCTTTTTTTTAGCCATTGATTAGCTTTACGAGAATTCGCAACTAAGAAACAGCTCTGTTTAGTGCGACCCATACAAGACGCATTTTTAAGTGTCTTCTTATTCCTACTTGAAACGTCAGTACGTTATGACTTAGACCAATGTGCTGATTATACAAATGCACCAGCGCAAACGATGACGCTCTGCTGTTAACCAATCTGATCCCAGAGGGCTGTCCTTTGTTGTTCTTTGATGACATTTCGCGACAGCGAACAGATAGTTCCTCATAAAAAGATTGCGTTGGTCCCGTGCATGGCGGATGAATGTTTACTGAACGAAGTAATCTGGCATGGATGCATTACATCACCTTTTGGTTGTTGAGAAAACAGCGTATTGGCTAAAAACGCGTCTCCTAAGTCATAATAAACTAGCTGACACACTAGCTATCATTGGCGGTTCACCCTTAACTAATTATAACCAGTGGGTGATAATTTACTACGTACAAGATCACGTTTATCGTAAGGTTGCACCTTAGTTTTGAGGTATATATTTTTGTATTTATTGGAGAATCCTTCTAATGATAGCTGGTAGGGTTTTTTTTTTTTTCCTTTTTTTGTAACTTACGGCAGATATTAACAAGAAACACGCTGAAGTTAGACTGTAGACTATAATGATCATTATTTGTATTATCCGCTAAATATTAAAAGTAATTAAGCCTTTTCATGGGAAATATATTTTTAAATAATATGTTAGGGTGGTAGTAAAAATGGCAAATAGATACCCGACAGTAATTTTGTAAGGATTTAACAAGAAGAATTAGTCTTTGCTAATTCTAGTTTATAGAGCAACGTGACTAGATGCACTTTTTGTTAAAATACAATTACAACTGCTTCGGTAGTTTTGGGGGTAATTTATGGAATTTTGAATCACCCCACTAATGTCACGCAGGTTTGTTGAGCCATTATTTATAAAGGCAGCCTATACACATCGTGACGTGGCCGGCACGACGTGTTGATGACATTCGTGTGTGCGACCACTAAACCTACTTATCGTGGAGTAGCACAAGCACTATAAAACAAAGCGTGGGGCAACGAGTCATCAGCCTATTTTAATGCATAATGTTTAAGACAACACATATATAACTTTAAGAAGTCAGCAGCGTCTGCTTTCCCGCAAAGCATTTGAGAGAGCGAGTCGTTGCAGTTTACTGAGATAGCTCAGCTACCGACGTGACTGAAATTATGTTTACGCCTAAGAAAGCAGTCTGCGCTGCAACACAGATCATGACGATTCACCATGTTCTGGGCCAGCGCAGGTTTTTTTAGAGCGCAGCTCTTAGGCGCCCGTTTCCGGCTTGAGCGGCTTCGGCGTAACCGCGCGGTGTATTATGGGAAATGTCCCATAATGCAATGCGCGAGACTTGTGATGTCACAAGTGACGTCACGAGGGTCACTTGACGTCACGATACGTCACGTCACGCGTTGCTTTATGGGAAACGTCCCATGGTGCAACGCGTGGGGAGGAGGAGTGAAGGAGGAGGGGGAGGGGAAAATGAGGAGAACGAAGGAGGAGGGAGGAGGAGGGAAGGAAGGGAGGGAGTAGAAGGGAAAAGAAGAGGAGCATGGATGAAGAGGAGCAGAAGAGGGAGGAGGAGGAGATGAGGAGGGAGGAGGACGGGAGGAGGAGACAGTACGGATGAGGAGGGGCATACCCTCCCCTCAGTACCCTCCCCTCTCCCTCGTCCTCCTCCTTAAGAGCTGCGCTCCAATTCGGCGTTACAGGAAGTTGTCAACGTCTTTTTTTTTATCTTAGTTGTTCTTTAAGCTTTGTTATCTGAGCTCCTTCCTCAGGTAACAACAATTGCCTCTCCCGATAGCTTTTTGGCAAAGAAGGCGCTTCAGAGGTTTTAGAGTATAGAGCAATTGAGAGGGAGCAAAAAACACAAAAAAGAGCTACGATGCGCACAAAACAAGAAGGGGTTTGAAAATAAAAACCAGGGAGTCATCCTACAGGACTCGGCTCATGCGGGGCCATCCAAGAGAGCATGCAAATCAAGGAAAGGACGTCAGCCAGCGAGCAGATAAGTAGCGAACGTACCCAAGCCACCGTATTTCTGGGCCGCCGCAAGCTCACAGCAGAGGAAGGCTGAGCAGCGGTCGAAACAGGAGCAAAACACATTGGGCCCTATTCCAGGCACTCCTGTCTACATAATGTGACACGAACACTAATCGTCTATACGAACATGTACCGCGGTCTTTGTGCCTGACAAAGGATACCTTTTGGTCGGCAACATTGTCCCCTAGGGACGTCAGAAGTCCGGCTAGGCTAAACTAGTCGGTATTTAGACTAGGTGGAGCGCAAGTTCGTCTGCTTCTTGCGCGGGGTTTGCGGTGGCCACAGAACGCCGAGCCCCGATGGGCTCCGACTCGAAGGTTAGTTGGGAAAACATCACGACATCTAGCATTGAAGTCTACCCAGTATCCTTCCATCAGAGCCCATCGAAGCCGACGTAATGACGTCCCTGCAACCCCCTGAACAAGATGCAGACGAACTTGCACACCGTATGGTCTTCGACAAGATGAGAAAGGCAGGGCGGCTCTTCCGGAAGCCCCGGTTCCAGCACGAGCTCGTGGCCTTCAACAGATTGGTAAGGTGAGGCTTGTAAAAATATTGAAAAATAAAAATTGCCACGATCGGTACCACCTCAATGGGCACACCCGATTTAAAGCCTATTCGATATAAATAAATTGGATCCCTGGATGAAGTGGCAATTTCACCAAAAAGCAGATTGGGAACTGTACTTAGAAAAAATTGGGACACACCAAGAAACAGCCCGGGAAAGACCGACAGGGAGATAGGACCCCGCAGAGCTCGACACCAGCCCAACCCCACAAAGGGGCACTCAAGGGCAACAGCAGTGGGTCGACGACGGTCGGGGGCATCCCTGCGTCGACAACCGTCGCCTTAGTGATATTCGCTTTGCCCCCCCCTCCCAACGGCAGGCCCCTGTCAGGGGGCCACCCCTCAGTAGAGGGATAATCGCTAGGGCCTCCGTTGCAGCGTACAAGCTGGAGGGGCGCACCACGAGCAGGTGGAAGTTGACTTCCCACGCGGCGACAAGCCCCCGTGGCCTTCAACAGTCACCGACAATTTAAGAAACGCCGGGCGAGGCGAGTTCCGGTCATTTTATTAACGCTGAGCAGCCAATGAGATTGCAGCATTATCCATTAAGAACGCCGACGAGCAAATCACGGAGCATGAACATAATGAGCAACGCCCGTCGTCTTTCAAGTTGTCAATGGGCGCGTTAGACGCCGACGACCAGACTCGAAATCCTGCAAGGCAGAAGATCTATTCACAATGGCGGAGGAGAAAACAGGTACCGGTGGATAGGGTAGAAGGGGGAGAGGAGGAAGGAAGGGAAAAGTGTAAAGCGCGAACTGGTCGCCGGTCTTTAAGCCAGTGCTCCGGAGCGCGAGAATTTGACGCTCTCTTCACTAAACCGACAGGAGCGCCACCGGACACTCACACTCGAGCGCGCTCTTCGTGCACCGAGTATCTTTCGGAGCTCGAGCGAATTCTTCGCGCTCCGTGACGTCAGGTTCACAAACAAGATGGCTGCGCTGACAGAAACGTTGTTGAGACGAAGGGCGCAGTGGTCCGCCGCCCCTTTTTTAGTTGAACGGGCTTAATACATCAAATAAAACAATTTTATTTGAAGGCCGAAACATCAGTTAGCGCTTCGGAAAAGGTTTTCTCCTGCATCTCGACCGAAAACGAATTCATCTATCAAACGGTCGAGTGCCGATAGCACAGAGCAAAAAAAAAAAAAAAAAAGTTGTCGAGATCAGAGGACCGTTGGACCGCTGCCCTTTTTTGAATGTTTCGTCGAGCGAATAAACATAAATCGATCGGAAAGGCGCAACATCAGATTGCGTTTCGAAAAAGGTTTATCCATGCATCTCGAATGAAAACGAATTGACGTGCTATCTATTGGACGGTGGTGTGCCGGTATCGGCGTGGCACATCGACGGGTTCCGTCTCGCACTAAAAGACGGAACCATGGAACATCTGACAAGTTTGACAGTTTCCTGCGTTGACG